AGAGGGGAAGGAAGAGGGGAAGGAAGAGGGGAAGGAAGAGGAGAAGGAGAAGGAGGAGGAGGAGGAGAGGAGGCGAGGTCGCGAAGCAGGCCGGGACCCCAACCATTCCCCTTTTCCTGTTGGGATCTTTTCAAACTCCATCCCTACCTCCATCCCTCCCGCCATCCCTCCTGCCATCCCGCCATCTCACCGGAGGAAGGGATGACGTGAGTGGGGGGGGGGGGGTGGGGGTGGGGGGTAGGAGTATGGGTAGGGGTAGGGATAGGTGTAGGGGTAGGGGTAGGAGTAGGGGGTAGGAGGTAAGGACGTGGGGAAAGTGGGATAGTAGAGATAAAAGACGAAGAGGGGAGGGGGGGGGGGATTACATCGTCCCCGAACGTGATAAGCGCCGAATAAGTCAGGGAAGGGAGGTAGGTCAAGCTAGGTCAGGATAATAAGAAAGGGGTGGGGTCGTAGAAGGCGGGAAAGGAGGAAGCAGGAGGCAGAGGGAGGTTGGAAGAGAGAAAGAGAGGAAGAGAGGGAGAGAGGGGAGGAGGGAGGGAAGGAGAGAGGGAGAGAGAGAGGAAGGGAGGGAGGGAGGGAGGGAGGGAGGGAAGGAGGGAGAGAGAGGGGGGGAGGGGGGAGGGAGGGAGAGAGGAAGGGAGGGAGGGAGGGAGGGAGGTTGGGAGAGAGAGAGGAAGAGAGGAAGGAAGGGAGGGAGGGAGGGAAGAAGACCGACGAACGAAGGACCCTCCACAAACAACGACTCCCTCTAAAAATGAATAAATAAACAGAAGAGATCTTCCTCTCACTCGCAAGCACCGGGTCCATTATGCTTTTATGCCGCGCGGTGGTGGCAGTCGGTGGCAGCGGCGACGCCAGGTGGGGGCAGAACGCAGCACGAGCATTCCTTACTAAATCTAGAACGTTAATGAATTTATTTTTCGGTGCGTGTGACTGTAGGTAGATGTGCACGTGTATTTTCAGTAAGTGAATGAAAACTGACGAACGAAACAAACTCCCTCTCAGCGAACAACAAACCATTCTCACCACACCTGAGAGATCAAAATAAATTAAAACAATAATAATAATAATAATTCTCATCGTAGAGCGACCGATAAATTCACTCGCTCTTTCCGACAAACAAAGACTCTCTGACCCGAAAGGAGAAATACTCTCATTCTAAGACAAATAAAACTCACCTCTCACCATACTTCATAAATTAGAACTCAAGAAATGGAAAACATACTAACAAACACACACGCACACACAAACACACACACACACAAAGACGCACACACACACACACACACACACACACACACACACACACACACACAAATAAACACAAACGCACGCACGCACAAAAGACCGTGTTTGTAGAACTACAAGAGCCCAAGTATACAATCTCGATCCAGGACGCGCTTTTATCGTTAGCTCTCTCTCTCTGTCTTCTCTCTCTCTCTCTCTCTCTCTCTCTCTCTCTCTCTCTCTCTCTCTCTCTCTCTCTCTCTCTCTCTCTCTCTCTCTCTCTCTCTCTCTCTCTCTCACTCTGTGTGTGTGTGTGTGTGTGTGTGTGTGTGTGTGTGTGTGTGTGTGTGTGTGTGTGTGTGTGTGTGTGTGTGTGTCTGTGTGTGTGTGTGTGTGTGTGTGTCTGTATGTGTGTGTGTGTGTTCGCGAGCGCGCGTGACAATATGTAAGAGTGTGTATGCTCGTGTAGTCAGTTACAAGTGTATGTCCGCACACGATTTTCATGCACTACGTTTATTAGTATTATAATGACACCATTTCGCCTTCTAGTTACTCTTTCCCTTTCTTAATCGACTCGAACGCGTGTAAACAGATAGCTCTTCTCCCCCGATAAGTCATGATAATATTAAAGACCCGAATAAACAAGACACGCACGCTTAGTTTTGCCCCATCGAGCCATCAGAACAAATGGAACGCCAAATATATCGTCTGGCTTTTAACGACTAACGTCTCTCTCGGTCTTCTTTCTTCTTCTCTCTTTATTCTTCTTTCTTTCTTTCTCCTTTCTCTTTATTCTTCTTTCTTTCTTTCTCCTTTCTCTTTATTCTTCTTTCTTTCTTTCTCCTTTCTCTTTATTCTTCTTTTTTTCTTTCTCCTTTCTCTTTATTCTTCTTTCTTTCTTTCTCCTTTCTCTTTATTCTTCTTTCTTTCTTTCTCCTTTCTCTTTATTCTTCTTTCTTTCTTTCTCCTTTCTCTTTATTCTTCTTTCTTTCTTTCTCCTTTCTCTTTATTCTTCTTTCTTTCTTTCTCCTTTCTCTTTATTCTTCTTTCTTTCTTTCTCCTTTCTCTTAATTCTTCTTTCTTTCTTTCTTCTTTCTCTTTATTCTTCTTTCTTTCTTTCTTCTTTCTCTTTATTCTTCTTTCTTTCTTTCTCCTTTCTCTTTATTCTTCTTTCTTTCTTTCTTCTTTCTCTTTATTCTTCTATCTTTCTTTCTCCTTTCTCTTTATTCTTCTTTCTTTCTTTCTTCTTTCTCTTCCTCTTCTTTACTATTCTTTCTCCTTTCTCTTTATTCTTCTTTCTTTCTTTCTCCTTTCTCTTTATTCTTCTTTCTTTCTTTCTTCTTTCTTTTCCTCTTCTTTACTATTTTTTTTATCGTTATCACTCTCGTTATTATCACCGATTGACCACTTCTTCCTCTTCTTTATCCCCCTT